AACAAAGGCCTTCTCTGTAGCGAATCGATGCGTTTTTGTAAGAAAAATATCCATATTCAAAACGTAATAATAACTTGAATCTAGCTTGCGCTCACTGTTGTAAACAGAAGCAGTTCCGGGGGAATGACGTATGAGGTTATATGCTTCTGTGTACAACTGTTGGATATTTTTCTTACAAAAACGCATCGATTCACTACAGGAGGCCTTTGTTCACCCCCCGGAGCCGTGTGAGACACTTTTTTTTTTTATGGATGGGTAAATGCTTTTTATTTAACTTCTTTTGGACTGATGCATGCAACACCTGCTGACTGCAATGATCAAAGACAATTTTTAATATAACTCCGACTGGATTCGTACAGAATGTACAGAAGTACAGAATGAGGTGTTTTTCTAAAACTGTTTTTTAAACCTCCACAAAGGTACAGTATGTTTATATTGCACATGGTACAAAGAACTTTTATTACAAACGATCATGGAAAATTCACTTTAATGATATGACCCATTTAAATAGGTTCATGTACACACCAAAATGCTACTTAATGATACGCTGCAGTTAATCAAAAAACCTTGTTTTGACTGTATATGTTCTTACCTTCATTTTCAGACTTGTCAGAGATGTCACTCACTTTCCAAAATGACTTGCTCTGTTCTGCATTCCTAATTAAAACAATAACAATCATATAGTTAAAGTGATTGTAGGATTATGCATACACTGCCGTTCAACAGTTTGGGGTCAGTAAGAGTTTTTTTCTTTTTTTAAAGAAATTAATACTTTTATGAAGCAAGGATGCATTCAATTGATCAATAGTGATACTAAAGACTAACACTTTCTATTTATCAAAGTATCCTGAAAAAAAAAATGTATCATGGTTTCCACAAAATATTAAGTAGCACAACTGTTTTCAACATTGATAATAATAAGAAATGTTTCTTGAGCGTCATTCAGCATTTTAGAATGATTTCTGAAGGATCATGTGACACTGAAGACGAGCAATTGCTGATGAAAATTCAGTTTCGGCATCACAGGAATAAATTACATTTTAAAATATTAAAATAGAAAACAATTATTTTTAAAATGTGATAATATACTGTTCAAACGTTTGAACAGTAGTGTATATTTTGTAAATAACTTAATATTACAATAATTAGGTCCATACAGCAGTGTTTTTGTTCCACAAGATATATTGTGTGTTTGTATGTTTGTGTGCCTACTCCCTCCAACTCACCAAATGGCATTGGGGAGTGACTGCATGTTTGTGACGTCTCCATTGACGGGCACTAACACCTGTACATTTGTGAGTGCTGCGGGGGGCTGCATGGCCTCTGGGTTGTATCGATAGTCCACTCGCAGGTCTGTAGTACTAGGAGTGCATTTCCAGTACACCACAAGGTTCAGAGGTGTTGACTGAATCCCATTTGAACATACCTGAGAAAGACGGCCAAAAGATCTTTGCTCACCACCTAAAGACCATGGCTTAGTTATCACCAACCTGATTTACATTTACATTACATTTACATTTAGTCATTTAGCAGATGCTTTTATCCAAAGCGACTTACAAATAAAATAAAATAAAATAAAATAAAAGCAGTCAAAACTAACAAAAGAGCAACAATATATAAATGCAAATGACAAGTCTCGGTTAGCCTAACGCAGTACACGTAGCAAGGTGTATGTATATATGTATATATATATATATATATATAT